TCCCCCGAGAAATGCTTAGAAATAGCCCCTTGCCACCAGCCCCATAACTGTAAAATGTGCGTATAGCTGCTGTGGGTCCCTGACATTGGGGCGATGGATGCCACACTCCTCGCCGTGTCCTCTTCTACCACCCGCTTGCAGTAGTTTTGTTTTCCTTAATGCCTTTTAGTAACGAAAGGATGTGTTAATTTCTCCCTGCCAGACCCAAAGCACACCAAGTGGAGAACTGGTTCTCAAGAGGCCATGCAGGAACAGGCTTACGAAGTACTTACTGTGATTCGGCGGGGGACACATACTCCTTTCCTTCCTAGGACCATTCCCGCGCGGACAACAGACGCCCCGCACCATGCCGTCGCCAGGAAGTGACGCTGGGCGACGCTCTGGCAATGGGGCTGGAAACTCAATGGTACCATCGAGTTTTCAGCCCCATTGTCAGAGTGTCGCCCAGTGTCACTTCCTGGTGATGGCATGGTGCGTTACAAGGAGGAATGTTCCGGCCGGGGATCATGTGTCCCTCGCCGAATCGCGGTAAGTACTTGGTAACCCTCTGCAGGAACCATCTTACATCTTGAATGGTGCACAGGCAGCTGCATGGATGCTGGATGCGAAATGTGAAAAAGGGGACAGTCTGACATCTTGGCAACCAGCAGTTTATACTTTCAAAGCTATTTCAAACAAAAAGTGGTGCTTGCCGTTCCAATTCATATTAGCATGCTGAAACTCTACAATGGCCTAAAGCCTGTCTTCCCAAAAGATGGAAGGACTCTCTATGCAACTATTTTCTTCTTGGGTTTCTTTCTTTCTTTCATTTTTATTGAGGGAGGCGGGGACTGAACAGTCGGTTCGTTCTCACGGCAACACACCAGGCCAAACACTGAAGGAAAAGCATTAAGTACAAGCAGCTGTGATTATTTTTCCTTATTTTTATTGGGTAAATGAGTTAAAAGGTAATGACAATAGTGTTAAAACTACTACAATATCTTTCCACAGCCCATATCTCACAGACCCACAAATTACCTTCTAGATTTTTTTTTGCTTTTTCCTCATTTTTACCTTTTTAAGCCATATGTATAAAATGCCCATTTTATCAACAGTTTCTTCACACTAATAGCAAATAAACATGGAAGGAAGAAGGATCTAGTTTTAATGGGGGGTTTGTGGTAATCTGTGTTAAAATTGTAATCAATAGTCAAGTTACTAAAGAAGGGGAAAAAAATAGGGGCCTCAAAACTACACCAGGTAGCCTGCGGCCCAGTTCTGCGTCACCTTTGCATTGAAGATAACTCATTATGCTGGTGAACCTTTTTTTTTTTTGTTGTAACATATAAAACACTAAAATAACTTAGAAACTAGATCCCAATCTTTTTGAAAAGAATCAACTTGGATATACAAAAACAGTCATAAGTTGTTACAAAAGTTTGTTTTTCTCAGTGCATTTCATGTACCAGCACAGTTACTGGATCCAGAGCAAAGGAAGTATTTTTTTTCTTCTTCTGAAACAGTAATAAAAAACAAGGAAAACATATCTTTGTATATAAAGAATCATTGCTGGTCTTAATAAATGTAACCAGAAACCCTTTAAAATCTGAGAGGCACACTTTGGGTTTCTATATTATTTTATTTAAACATAGAAGTCACCAGTTTTTATTTCAATGGAGGAGTTTGCATCGGCTCCTCAAACTTAATTCAATTAACATCACTAGCAAAAATCAGTTAGAAACTGTACAAAAATAAAAAAAGTTAACCCATTTCATCCTGCAGAGACTTTGGAAGGATTGGAAGGCAGGCTTTTTCAGGAGCAGCATGTGGGCTTGGCTGGAGGCTTCTTTGGTTCGATCCAACACACAAGAGGTGTAATCTACTCCAGACGACAGTTTCAATACCCCGCACAGTTGAAAACAAGTAAAGAGGGTGAGATACAAACGCCAGGGTGTGCTGGGACCCGGCACACTGCCCCCCGTCGGCACGGCGGGTGCAGGCGCCCTCCACCCTAACGCAGCCCCACAGCAAGTTGGTGCAAACGCAACGCACAGCACTGCGCGGAACTCCAGAGACTGGGAGGCTTAGCAGATGTGCTCTCCTCTCGCTCGGCCGGAGAGACTTGTTCTGCCACTGGCCTTGCCACATGGGAGCAGAAAACAAACTTTAAAGCTAGAACTGAAGCGCCTTTTGGAATGAAATAAGGCAAAAAAACTGATCCACGCTTGTCCAAAGCTTAGCGATCAAGAGGAGGAAGATGAAAGTCTGTCTTGTGTTTCAAACTATTACGAAAGGCCCAAACTTTAAATTTGCCAACTTACAAATGCAAATGGCAAATATATATATTTTTCTTCTCAGAATCTCATTTCTTGATTTGGATAAACAGACCTCCTATGTTCCGGTGTACAAATGAGCTGACAAATTACATAAACGTAATCCTTTCAGTGTTGACGGCACTTCCATACTGAGAGGTAGGTGCCAGGAAAAACACATCACTGAGAAACCGATTCATCTATATATGTCAGGAAACAAACAAAAACAAAAAAACCCCTCAGACCTCTGAAGCTTGTGTCCAAAGCTCCAGTCTTATAACATATCAATATGAGCTCTTTATAAATGAACATGCAAAACAGGTTCAGAAGGGTCTGGAGGGTTTTCATATTTTTTTAAAGCACACCTTTCCAGTTTGTATAACCCCTTTGAACTATTGTGTTCCCCCCCCCCAAGCAACAGCTACTGAGAGATAGACAAAAACGCATTGTGCATTATGCTGTGTACAAAAAGGAGACAAAACAATCCTTTTTTTCCCTCCCCCAAGCCACGATGGGAAGTATTGCTGACCTCGTCCTTCAAACCCTGCAGGATATTTTATTTAATCAGTATATCATTATTACACTGGTAAGAAATTCTGTATAACATCTGCATATATTGAGGATTTTTTTAAAAAATCTGATATGATTTTAGAGTCCGCATGACCAGTCACGTGACCTGCTCAAGGTTGATTAGCACCTTTAAATACACATATATTTATATATATATAATAGATCTTTTTAAAAAAACTTCTAACAATGAGCTCACCCAGAAGCACAGCTGTAATGAGATAATGGAGAATACCAGATTGGGTGGCCATGGCTGATCCCCCCCCCCCAAATGTTTGCAGCAGAGAATTTGTTTTTCAGCTTGTGCTCAAGTTCCCCCTTTAAGGGCAAAAATGAAAAGTTGCCATCAGGTAGCCACTGGTTGACAGCTTTTGCTTCAAGGCGAATCCACTTTCCAACCTTCCAAGTGGAAACATAACAACATACTGAACAGCTTCAATAGAAGCCATGGCCGGTTCTTTCTCCGCCCCACCCCACCCCTCAATGTCTACCAGACATTTGTTGGCTACTTGTATTTTCAGGCCTTCTGTTCATTTAAGATTAAGGCATCAAAACAGAAAGTTAATATTTGGACATCTAAATGCTGTGGATGAAGGAAATGACAGTGATTCCCCTGAGAACCAGCTCTGCCTGCCTGCCTGCCTGTACGAGCAATAAGTGTACATCCAGTTACCTCTTGAAATAGAAGAATTGTGGAGAATTCTCAACCAGCTGCTTGCCATTTATGAGAATGTATGGTTCGGCATGTTTATTTACTTATGTGTATGCACATAAGTGCCATACCTCTTGCATGAAATATGCTGGGACTTCTGCCAAACTTATTTGGCTGATCCAAAGTGAAGGAGGTCTTTTAATTAAAGGACAAGATTTAGTATCCTCTTGAGCATGCGCTTCACTACCATCTGAAGCACCAGGACTTCTAGAAGCCCAGGAAAGAAGGGGAGTCCAATGCCATGAATACCCTCCTCACTCTCATAAGCCTATTATTAGAGCAGTTAAGAGAACCTGATCCGGACATTATCTCACTCCACTGCTTCCACACATCAGAAAGCCAACCCATTTCAAAGTACTGATCCTTCTTGCTCAGTACTATTTCTACGTAACAGACAATACCTGAAAGCCAATAATGTAACACTACCGCTATTTCTTAAAACAGTAAATCAATTCAACTGGACTAAATGAAATGCAATCAAAAATGGGCAGGAAGAAAGCTGCTGAATTGTATTCTAAAAAAAGACTTCTTATATGTTTTTGCTGCCATGCAGATCTTCCTATGATTTTTTTTTAGGAAACTTGCATCTTAGTCAAAGGCACTAATACCTAAATCCACTGACCTCATCACGTAACAGCTGCTACAAGCCAGTCGCTTTGGCTATGAAAGCGACTCCCTTCTCAGAAGCCTCAGAGAGGCATTGGTGCTTGAAGCAAAACCTTGTGGGTGCAAATCAGTCAAATCCTACTCACGCACAAGCCCCCTGATGAAAATGAGAGCGGTGCAGAACAGCAGGTGATGGATTGTGCCCTCCAGCTGTAGTCTGATCCAGAGAAGGAGACGTTACACGCTTCAGTCCCATGGGGTGTGAAGGAGTGGAAAGGACGCTCCTTCCCTTCCCAGATCAGGCACTTGGGGTGAGGTTTTAGTTCCACTGATTCTATGGGGAAAACTCTGCCAAAGTCAGTGGAACAAGGACCCCGACCTTGGTCTGCAATGAAATTCTTCCTATGATCAATCTCTCAGGCCAAATAGTCATAGCTCCTTCGATTCATAATCAATAAAATTTACCTGTCATTGTCCCTCCTGTGCCTAGCAGGACAAGACTGAAGGCTCATGCATCTACCTACATGAAACAAAATGACTTTTTACTTGTTTTGTGGGACTACTAAGGAACTGCATGGCTAGCCCTACTCAGACCTCCTTCAAGTCTGGTTTCTTCTCTAAATCTGATATGTTCTTATTTTATGAAAAGCTTTTTAGGCTTTGTTCAGTAGTCAGTCCCTTCTTTCCTTTCATCCACAGTCTCACAGAAAACCTTGATTGATATAATTCAATGTTAATGAAGTAGAAATTTAAAATTTTATAAAAAAAAAAATCCCAAGAGTTCTACTGCAAATTAATTAAAATTAAAAAACCCACAGTGACTCGATAATTAAAAGCAGAAAAGAACGAAGGGCTCTTTGTAATGATGTAGCGTTTCCACCCGTTGCCGTGATGAACTTAACCAACCATGGAGAAGCGTCATCACGGCAACGGAAACTATCATCATAAAATGGTACAGTAATAGAGATAGCTAGACCAAGAGGGGGCGGGGTCTCCTGGGAAGAGGTCTGCTGAGAGGTCGAGGGACTGGTCATGCGGCTCAGTGTCAGGAATAATGGTTGTATGGTGGAAGGGGGTGCCCAATGCCATTCTGGAAGTGATGATGCTGGCGGTGGGCAAGGTATTCTGTGTAGCTCATCGTCATCTTAGAGAGACAGGTTCAAAGACAAGGAGCAACACTCTGGATTTCTAAAAGCAGCAGCCTGGGATGTCTCCCATGAAGGAACAGACTGTACTTGCATTGAAGCGGAATTGTCTCTAGTGAGAAGCAATGTCATACACACATCCATTACAGCCTGCTTACACATTCTGCACACGGCTCGTTTTTAACCCAATAATGATTTGCTCCGAAGTCATCAACAACCTGGAAGCACACCGTTCCTAGAGCTACCCTTGGAAGGTCTGTGCTACAGACCTGCTTTGGCATTTCTTGGGAAACGTTCTGCTCCAACACTCTGGATGCTCGCGTGGAAAAGGCCAGTGGAGGACTCTGTGGGGCAGTTCTCCATCACATCCGACCCACTGATTCTTAGACCCAAGAGGGAGTGAAGCTCTTTATCTCTACTTACTGTACACACACTGATTTCTTTTAAAAAACGTACTGGAAGAGCCTTGATTTCTGTAGTCAGTACTTAAGGTTCGCGGGTGACCTTACAATTGGAATGGGTGATACCAAGTTGTAGCAATTAGTGATGAGATATATAAATTGGGCTGCGTGGCAGATTACTTTAATGTGAAAAGTGTGTGTACTAGGACTACGAAGCACAAAACATCTACCCCCATCGGCCAAGGAGAAAGGAATTAATTACAGCCTTTCTGCTTCCAGATAAATGCAGACTTCGGTGGAAGTGCAGCTACATCTTTATTTCCATTGCATTGGAAGGACTGGTCTGAGCCCAAGTCCCCGATGTGACTCATCAAACAAAGAAAGTGAGGTGTGGTTCTCCTCACACTGACGGAAAGGGTGTGCGGGACCGTTCACAGTTCCGCAGGGCCTGCAAGACGGAGCTCTTCCACCAGGCTTTTAATTAGGAGCTGCCACCACCACCAACTACTCTGTGGTAACAACGGGGTAACGGGATGGCCCAGTATATAGATCTCGCAGCAGTACTGAGATGAGTCAATGCCGTTGATGCGGGCTATTGGGTATAGTTACAGGTCACCATCTTGATTTGACTAAATTGATAACATCTTTGAGCACTTTATTTTTGTTGATAATGGCTGTTTTTATGTTTTTATTTTACTGGCACATGCTGCCCTTATTTGTAAGCCGCCCTGAGCCCGTCCGCGGGGAGGGCGGGATATAAATGTAATGATAAATAAATATTTAATGAATAAATAAATAAATAAAAGGCAACACAACTGCCAAATGAAACCCTGGTGCCTTCAAAATCTTAAGTTCAGGTTAAGTGGGGGCCAGGAGTTAGGGGTGTGCATTCGGTAAAGCCAAATCTGATTCAGCTGTCAAATATAGAATGCCAAACCCAGCTGAAAATATATGGTTTTTTCCTGGCTTTTTTCAGCATTACCGAATACACGTGCCACAGCAGTTTAAAATTTAAAGGGCTCGGCTCACCTTTTTCCCACCGTTTCCCCCCCTTTCCCGCCCTTTGCTCTGCCTTCCAGGAGGGAGGGGGGAGGGGGAAGAGGGACATTACATATAGCCAATCACTGCAATGCATTAGCAAATGTAATTGCAGCTTGCAAGGCTGTTGTTGCTGCTGGCTTCACTTGTTGAAGCCCAGCTACTAGCTTGCTGCTTTCCCAGGGGGAGGAACATTGGCCAATAGGATTACAGGTAAAGGTGGCATACTGTTCTTTGGCCAATCACAGAAGTTTACTCTTTTTTGAAATTCTTCTGTGCATGGCCAGAGAGCATAAAAGCAGGGGCTTCTGGTTGGCTGACTTTCCTGCTGCTTAGAGAGCCTGGGTTGGAGACTGTGTGGCTGGCTTTTGCTTCAGCCCCTGCTCTGAGCCTGTTTTCCCGCTGCTGGCTATTGGACTACTTTGGATCAAGTTCCATCTTGCCTGCTGGACAAGAAGAAGACTGAAGACTGGTTTGAATTATTAGGGCCACTTAAAAAAAAACCTTTTCTAGTTTTTTGTGGGGTGGTGGGTTTGGGGCCTGGGGGTGGTGGGTTGGCCTCTGGGCCCTCAGTTTATAGTATACTTTCGAGATTTTCAGGTTTGATCTCAGTCCTGTTGGGTTTTAGCACTGCCACGGTGGCACTGGTTCTGGTGGGCACATTGCCCTGGTTCTGTTGCTGGCCTTGCAAACATGCCCCCCTCCCCCAAACCACACCTCACAGTTTCTGCTGCAGAGATTCTCTGGGAGAAACAGCTGGGCTGTTGCTTTTATATCTGCCTGCCATAGGAAACAATGGAGGGCTGGAGGCATCCTCTTTGGGTGCCCCTAGAATTTGATCTTTTCCAAACTTGGGGGTTCTCTTGGGGAGAGGCTCCAGCAACTACAGTACAAATTTGGTGCTTCTACCTCAAACCCCCTCCCCCCAGCCCCCTGAATACTCCTGAGAAGATTTTTGCCATTGACTACAATGGCCCCATAGGATATAATGGAGCCGAATATATTTGGGAATATCGGAAAAAATCGGCTTTATTATACCCGAATCCAGAAAAAACTGACACCCCCCCACATACCCCTACCAGGAGTGGCAAAAGATGAAACTTCATCATACTTTTATCCCATTCTTTTCTTTCTCCCAGGAACTCAGAGCACTGTATTATATCGGTCTCTTCTCCTTCATTGTACTTGCACATTATATCTGGGAGGGCAGACAGGACTGGCCAAAGGCCACCCAGTAAGTTTCATGGCCAAATGGGGATTTGACTCTTCTCAGTCGTAGTTGGTCATTCTAACCATTACACCATACTTTCAGTCATAGACACTGCTCTTTTCATTCATTAAAAGAGCAAGCTAAATTGTATATCACTACCTGATTCCAGAAATTCTCACGGAAGGAATGATGCTAACATCTCTTGGGAATAACAATGAATGGGGAATAATTAGTTCAGGGGGTGTCAAACTTAAGGCTGGCGGGCTGGAAGTGGCCCGCCCATGGCTTCAATCAGGCCTGTGGCTCTTTTCTCCCCCCCCTCCCCCTTCTGTCCTCCCCCTTTGAAGCCTGAGGCTGCCAAAGTTCCTAGCTCCCTCCATGTTGTCTTTGCCTGCTTCGGCAGGAAGCTCTTCTGGGCTTGCAAAGTTAGAAAGGAAATACGGAATGGATTTTTTCCATTAAGGTCCCTGCACCCAGATTTTGCATTTGCTTTGCAACTTTGTCTGTGTTGCAATGTATTTCAGTGGAGTGGCGCTCAAGAAGTTTCACTTTCCAGTGTTTGTATAGTTGAAGCTGTTGCTTGCTGGAGTTGTCTCCTTGCAAATATAGGGTTGCTGTTCTGAACCAGCTTGTCTCTGCTGAATGGACCTGAGAACGGGTGCCTGAGTGAGTACTCTAACCTGGGACCCACAGCCAAAGGGGGACATTACACTGGAGAGCCACTGCCACCCTGAGTAGGCCTGGGGAGGGAGGGGAGAAGCTTGCAAAGCCCGGCCATTTGATGTTCCTAGGCTCAGAGCAGTTTATATTTTTAGTTTCTGCTGTGATCCTTGTGCTTTTTCTTGATGTTTTATTTTAAAAATTGCATTGCCAAATCCCACTATTCCCTAGCCTTTCCATTGTAGGCAGGAATTTTTTTTGGGGGGGGGGAGGTTTGGAAGGTGTCGGTTATCAAAGATTGTTAAATAAATGAAATATTGCAAGTGTTTTAAGCATATCTGTATTTTAAGTAAAAAAATAATATCTTTAATTGTGTTTGTACTTTTTATAAAGTTTATATCTCTGCTACCTGGCATTACATTTTATGACACGCATGGCCTGGCCCCGCAAAGATCCAGCACTTGTAACAAATGAGTTCGACACCCCTGCATCCATTGATTAAACCACCTGCCTTTTTAACAGTTTAAATTGTGGAATATCAGACTTCAAAATAAGTGCTCCGTTATTATTTATCAAATTCATATCCCATCTTTCTTAAAAGGGCCACCAAGATGGCTCACAGTTTAAACCATGCATGATAAAGTTACATTACACAACATTAAAATTAAAGTCTCTCTCAAACATACCTCATTAAAGCAACTTTTAAAAGAGTTTAAAAACAGAGTTGAAACACACATAAAACAGTTAAAAGACAAACAAAACATAAAACATTGGTTAGGAAGGAGGGAATGAGAGAATTCCACAGGAAACGAGGTTTTCACCTGCTGGCAGAAGATGGCAGACGGAGGACAGATGAATCTCCCTGGGAAGAGAGTTCCAGAGCTTTGGTATCGTGATCAAGAACGCCCTCTTGCCAGGTTGCCACACGCCTAATCTCGGAGGGGGGGGGGCACCTGAAGCAGGGCTTCTGAAGGTTACCTTAATGGTCGGGCAGGTTCAGAAGGGAGCAGGCGATTCTTTAGGTCTGCTGGTCCCAAACTGTCCCAGGCTCTGAAGGCCAAGACCAGCACCTTGAATTGTGCCCAGAGACAAACTGGAAGCCAGTGTTTGGGGGGGGGGTCAAAGCAGATGGTCCCTACGACCCACTCCAGTCAGCGTCCTGGCTGCACAGTGCTGTGCCAATGGAAGTTCCCAAACACTTTTCAAGGACAGCCCTGCATAAAGTTCACTGAAGTAATGTAATCGAGCTGTGATCAGGGCATGCATCACAGTGGCCAGAACTTTTCTGTCCAGGAAAGGCTACCGCTGGCTCACCGGTCAAAGCCGATAAAAGGCACTCTTGGCCACAGCTTAGCCTAATCAAAAAGCCATCATCTGTGCTACATATCCTACAAGCCATGATTTCCTTCCCTACCCGTGCAGCAAAAAAAGCACTCTCCTTGAATCACCCATGAGACTGGACCCTTGAACATTACAGAATTGCGCTGAAATGAAACGATGGGAAATGGTGAGCGGCCGGCTGCTTGACATCTAAAGGGCACTCCAAGTCAGCTGTTTAACACAAGACGTAAGATGTCACAGAACTGAACACAAAGAGGAACCCAGAAAAAGCCCAGCAAGAACTCATTAGCATGATAGGCCACACCCAACAGCAGGAACTCCTTAGAATATTAGGCCACACCCATGTCAGTGCAGCTCTGCCCTCACAGAGAAGGGAGAGCTTGTACCTGAATAAACCTTGAACTTAAAGGTGCCACTGGACTCTTTTGGATTGCTAGCCATAAGGGGGGGGACGCACAGATCTGTGCAGAAAGAGAGAGGGAAGGAAGGAAGGAAGAAAAGAAAGAGAGAGAGAAGGAATGGAGAGAAAGAAGGAAAGAAAGAGGAGGGAAAGAAAGAAAAGGGAAAAAGGAGGG